TCTCCGTGCTGGGACTTCCCTCGTTTTCCATATTTCTTGATGGGATGGCTTAAAGACCCTTTTACCTGTAGAGTCGCCACGACCCCAGCTTTACGGGTACTCGTTTCCTCTATCTTATTTTCAGACTATACCTCACGCACAAGAGCCCCTTCCTCTGTTGCTTCGTCAGGCAGGTCTTCCTCCCCCTCCCCCCCCTTGACCAGCCCAACTCTACCCTTGCAAGAAGGTCAACCACCCCCCTCCCTCTCTGTTTGTTTTGCAGCCACTCCTTCCCTTCACAGTGTCATCCAGGACTCTTCCAGACACCCCTCCCCCACCCTTTGTCAAGTGGCTTCTATAGGGCTCCATGTCTGCCTCATCCTTCTTCAGGAGTCATTACTAACATCTACAGCGCCCCCTTGCTTCCTCGAGGCACCTGTTTCTCGTCCCTTTGCCCGTCAGGCAGGTCCCCTTAGTTGTCTGGCCATCCCCAGCACTACCTGCTGCTGCCCTCCCCGCCCTTAGTGAGGCAGGTCTTCTCCCGTGCACAATGGCTCCTCCGGCACCTGTGTTTGGCGGGTGTTTGCATAACCGGGGAGCACATCTCTATTGATTCTTCCCTTACCCACTCCTCACCTCCCCCCTCCTCCTCCTCCCCTTCCCACCTCTCACTTAGGCACAAGCCAAAGGTCCTCACAAACCTTTTCCTCTCTGTACACTCCTACTCCCTCCTCTACCCCCTCCCCCTCCCTCCCTCCTACCCCCTCCTCTTCCCCCCTTCCTACTCCCTCCTCTAGGGGGAGCGGTGCGTCTGGCGAGCGAGGTCACTCGTTACTGGTATCAATGTACTGTAATCGTCTTGTTAGTGTCCATCCTCCCTCCATTTCCTGGCTTCTGCCTGCTCTCTCAAGCTTAACTACCCCCCTTCCCCCGCCCGCCCCCACTCAACCCTACCAATCTCTTTTTGTGCCCCTTATGTTTATTTCACTCTCCTTTTCAATACCTTCTTGAGGCGGCAACATCGGAGGCGAGACGGATATAAATACAGTGATGGCTTGAACACATGAGAAAGTCTGACGGGGAGAGAGGGGGACGTCTGGCCGGGGGAGAGAGAGAGGGGGGGGGGGAAGTCTGGCCAGGAGAGAGAGAGAGAGAGAGAGAGAGAGAAAGTCTGGCCGGGGGAGAGAGAGAGGGGAAAGTCTGGCCGGGAGAGAGTGGAAAGCATGGCCGGGAGAGAGAGGCGGGGGGGGGGGGGTGCAGTAGTGAAGAAACACATCAAAGTTGGCGGGAAACTAATCCGTCGTCACCTCTGGTAACAGTCAAAGAGGCGTTAAACCTGGATGGAAACTTAGTAACAATCGGGGTTACATGAAGACGGTACCAAATTTTTATCCATTTTGTAATACTTTTGGTTTTAAATATAACAAAATCAAAATATAGCCGAAAATAGGCTCTTAAGAAAATCTGATCTCAAGTATTTTTCAGTTTTTTGTTAACGTCTTTCACCTGCTAAAAATAAAACGCCGGAGGGTTGCCAGATATTTTTTCCGATATGAAAACATAAAACACTGATTAATTATATACAAAACATTGCAAACTCTGCAAAGTAAATTATGTAATTAAAATGGTTATTCTTAATTTATGACACTGCATTTTTAGCGGGAAAATTCAAATTTCGAAACTCAACTTTTGACCTTTCACTGTTTTCATCACAGCTTAGTGAGTTTTTGCACAGTACATAGACCAGTGGGCGTTACAATTCCTCTAGATTAAATACTTAAATTTCTAAATTTGTCAGTGTGATGTATTTAAATTAATAAACAAAACTACACCATACGTCTGTCCGGTGGACCTGACGGACGTCTGTCCGGTGGACCTGACGGACGTCTGTCCGGTGGACCTGACGGACGTCTGTCCGGTGGACCTGACGGACGTCTGTCCGGTGGACCTGACGGACGTCTGTCCGGTGGACCTGACGGACGTCTGTCCGGTGGACCTGACGGACGTCTGTCCGGTGGACCTGACGGACGTCTGTCCGGTGGACCTGACGGACGTATGGTTGAAGAGACGGAAGTGTGCTAAAACAGACATGGGTGAGGACACATTTGAACAATATTGGCGCATTAATAATTGAGCCACTTGACTTGATCTGTATAGAGTGGTTCGGGAGGGGGAGGGGGGAGGTGAGGATTAGAGCTGGATGGTGGGGACCTTGCTGGGGGTATCGGGTGTGGGGGGGCGGGGCCGTGGCGGGCACATGAGAGGCGGTTTAGCTATATCAGCACGTCGCTCCCTGCCTCTCCCCACACCTTCCCTCTTACAGTATGTATCTCCCTCCGCTCCTCTTCTTAAGTCATTAAAGAGTGATTTCCCGCCCCATCCACCTTCCCCCCCCCCTCTCTTTCTCTCACTCACACGGTTGAGAGGCGGGATCAAAGACAGACATACACACACACACACACCCCCCTCTAAGTCTAGGTTTCAAATGGTTCTCATGTTTCTAATGATAGTGCAAGCTAGACTCTCGAGGTCCACTAGATTTTACACGTTGAGGGGACACGTTCCGAATGCGAGTCAGCCTAGAAATGAATGACCGGTGATCGAGTGATGTTCTTGAGAAAGGCACAGCCAGCATGAGGCTGTTGATGGCCGAGCGCCCTGCTTGGTGATTGTCAACTTCTGGTTGTCCCGAAGTTGGGCCAGGTGGTAAACCTTGAGAAAATTGGCTGTGTACGTAACAGTGCAACCGCTAACTGCTGCCTTTCACCGTGGTATTGACTAGGAGGAAAGTACCCAAGGAAGTTCTCATTTTTCAATTGTATGAGAATCACGGTGAGCCGAGCATAAGTGTATTATGTATAATGTGCACAGTGTATGGTGTTATAAAGATGGAAAGAGCGCAGGAAATACCTGGAGCCTGGATTGTACCTGGAGGGGGTTCTATTCCCCAAGCCCGGCCTGGGGCCCAGGCTTGATTTATGAGAACTTGGTCCAACAGGCTGTTGCTTGGAGCGCCCCGCGGGCCCCACATACCCACTACAATCCAGTCCGGCATTTCTTACGATAAATTATTTTTTTCTTGAAGACGTCAGCTTTTATTCCGGCAATATTTCTTATATTTGCAGGGATGGCATTGAACAATCGTTGACTGATATTCATACAGTGTTCTCTGATTGTGCATTTTGGTCCTTTATTCATTCATACAGTGTTCTCTGATTGTGCATTTTGGCCCTTTATTCTTCACTGGCTCTATTCTGCATTTCCTGCCATACCGTTCACGCTATTATGTTGTTATTTTACTGTGTGGATTTGGGAATTTTCCGTGCGTCAATGGCGTATGTGTGTGGCGCCGCAGTCAGGTCTGGCAGTGTTTTTTGTCCTGCAAATTGACCTTCCCTTCCTGGGTGTTGATGTGCGTGACGGTGTGCGTGTACTAAACGCCTTGCCAAGAAATGTGCGTGTTCACGCCTCTCACACACACACACACACACACACACACACACACACACACACACACACACACACACACACACACACACTAAACTGGAAAAGGTTCACACCAGACTAGTACCCGAGCTGACACTACAGGAGAGACACAATTAAACCTCACTTCAAGACACATGATCACCACATTCAAGATTCTGAAGGGGATTGATAGGGTAGATAAAGACAACTTTTGAGTGCCCAAATGAGCCACAGAGATATTAGAAAGAACTTTTTTAGTGTCAGAGTGGTTGACAAATGGAATGCATTAGGGGGTGATGTGGTGGAGGCTGACTCCATACACAGTTTCAAGTGTAGATATGACAGAGCCCGACAGGCTCAGGAATCTGTACACCTGTTGATTGACGGTTGAGAGGCGGGACCAAAGAGCCAGAGCTCAACCCCCGCAAGCACAATTAGGTGAGTACAATTAGGTGGGTGAGTACAGACCGACCGGCCGACCGACCCAGCCAGCTAGGCAGCCAAAGAGCCCGACAGGCAGATAACTGGTGCTGGCCGAGTCGGTCCAAAAGGAAGCCAGATAGGAGAGTCAACCTTTGTGAATATTCAGACTGCCATGAGAGTTGTGTACGGGTGGTGTGGAGGTTGTGGTGTGGTTGTTGTTGTGTGGCGGTGGAGGTTGTGGTGTGGTTGTTGTTGTGTGGCGGTGGTTTTGGTGTGGTGTGCTTACAAAACATCTGCGAGGGAGTGTTAGGTCTAGTTCTTGATGCCCAGCCTACTAGCCTTGTTGCATTACAACCTAACTATTTTGACGTTCAAATCCTCTGTCGAATCTGGCCTAAAAGCTGTAGCTGGAGGTGGCTTCCACAACTTCTCCTTTCAGTACATTTCACTTATTGACCACCAGTGCAGGATAAGAGATACATGCAATCACAAAACAAGCATAGCCCCGGTCCGGGCTTGAGGAGTAGATCCTCCACAACCCATTCCTGTATTCTCCTAGCCCCCGTCCACTAGCCCCCGTCCCCTAGTCCTGTCTCGTAGCTCCTTTTCCCGCCATGCTCGATACCTTGCCTTCCTCCTCCTGTGTGAGACAACGGAAGATCAATAGATTCCCTAACAATGCTGTTTACCTCAACTCTCGGCTCCCTTTTGTGTGTCCCTGGGGCTTGCCTCTCTTCTCTCCTCTCTCTCAGCTTTGGTCTGACACCAGTCCTGTGTCAGCTGTGGTCTCCTGACACCAGTCCTGTCTCAACCCAGACCAAGAGATCAATTCTGATAGTAACATTAACAGGAGTGCTGGTAGAGGGTGTTGGGTGAGTGTCAGATGTGTGGTAGGTATTAACAGGTGCTAATTTAATAAACAAATGTGTGATATGATCAACACGTGCTTGATAGACCGATTAACAGATGTGCCATGCAACAGATACAGGTGTGAAGGTGACAGATGTAGGCGAAGTATTAACATACAGCGCGTGAGGACAAAAAAAAACACGTATATTAAAATGTGTGCGAGAGTTAGGCCTTTGTAAACTTTGATACAAGTCGACATGAGGAAATTGAGAGGTTGTACTCACCTCTGGAAGTGACTGACGTGAAGGACAGAGGTGACCAACTCCCAGGTGACCTCAGGGGTGACCAGCGTTCAGCGGCAACTAGGTGCAGGCCAAGGGGGGAGGGGGGATAAGGTGAAGAGTAGCAGCGTCGCCCAGGTGGCGGTAGAGGAGAGTAGGGTGGGAGATTTCAGGGGACGGAGCTGGTGTATGTAGGTGAGAGTGGCTGGTATGTGGGCTAGGGTAGATGGATTGTCTGGGTGAGGGGTGGCTGGTGTGTGTTTGTAGGGGGGGGGTTGGAGTGTGTGTGTGTGTAAGGTAGAAGTTGTGAGGTGCACCTGGGGACGGTTGGTCTTAGAGACCAGGTGTGTGGATGGAGTATCAACTGATGTATGGTTAGCTGACTCAGAGGAGGCTGGGTGACCTTGGCACAGGTGAGCGCGGCCTGTGTGAGCTGGTCTCAGGCGAGTGATGCCCGGGTAAGCGGGTCGCAGGTGAGTGATGCCCAGGTAAGCGAGTCGCAGGCGAGCGATACCCGGGTAAGCGGGTCGCAGGCGAGTGATGCCCAGGTAAGCGAGTCGCAGGCGAGCGATACCTGGGTAAGCGGGTCGCAGGCGAGTGATGCCCGGGTAAGCGAGTTGCAGGCGAGCGATACCTGGGTAAGCGGGTCGCAGGCGAGTGATGCCCGGGTAAGTGAGTCGCAGGTGAGGGCTGCCTTGGGTAAGCGAGTCGCAGGCGAGTGATGCCCAGGTAAGCGAGTCACAGGCGAGTGCTGCCTGGGTGAGTGGGTTGCAGGCGAGTGATGCCCGGGTAAGTGGGTCGCAGGTGAGTGATGCCCAGGTAAGCGAGTCGCAGGCGAGCGATACCCGGGTAAGCGGGTCGCAGGCGAGTGATGCCCAGGTAAGCGAGTCGCAGGCGAGCGATACCTGGGTAAGCGGGTCGCAGGCGAGTGATGCCCGGGTAAGCGAGTCACAGGCGAGCGATATCTGGGTAAGCGGGTCGCAGGCGAGTGATGCCCGGGTAAGTGAGTCGCAGGTGAGGGCTGCCTTGGGTAAGCGAGTCGCAGGCGAGTGATGCCCGGGTAAGCGAGTCACAGGCGAGTGATGCCCGGGTAAGCGGGTTGCAGGCGAGTGATGCCCGGGTAAGCGAGTCGCAGGCAAGTGATGCCCGGGTAAGCGGGTTGCAGGCGAGTGATGCCCGGGTAAGCGAGTCACAGGCGAGTGATGCCCGGGTAAGCGGGTTGCAGGCGAGTGATGCCCGGGTAAGCGGGTTGCAGGCGAGTGATGCCCGGGTAAGCGAGTCACAGGCGAGTGATGCCCGGGTAAGCGGGTTGCAGGCGAGTGATGCCCGGGTAAGCGAGTCACAGGCGAGTGATGCCCGGGTAAGCGAGTCACAGACGAGTGATGCCCGGGTAAGCGAGTCACAGGCGAGTGATGCCCGGGTAAGCGGGTTGCAGGCGAGTGATGCCCGGGTAAGCGGGTTGCAGGCGAGTGATGCCCGGGTAAGCGCAGCCCAGGTGTGAGCGTGGCCCAGGTGACGGGTCCGGGTGAGTGAGTAGGTGTGAGAGGAGATGTCTTGCCGGGTCCGAGGAGCAGGTCCAACTGATGTTGACGATCCTCACTCCTGCCTCGTCTCCCTCTCTCTCTCTCCCCCCCCCTCTCTCTCTCATTCCCTTCTCTCTGGGGGAGGGGGCCTGCACCGCAACCCCCCCCCCCCCTCCTCTATCACCCCGCCCCCCGACCCCCTGAAAGCCTCTTGACCCACGCAAGGAAGATGGTGTATATATGGGCGTGCGGGGTCACCATAACATAAGGATGCCACACGCCTTGACAGCGAGTGTGGTGGTGTTACACCATCACGCACTGACGGCGGGTCACACCTCGTGGCTTCCTCCCGTTTTCTTTACCTGCCGCTGCTACACCCATTACTTGATGTGGTCTCAGCCATCAAGCGTGTTACATTTATGGTGTTGAAAAGCAGTACTGCCGCTCCAATCTTGGGTGAAGTGACACGGGATTACATGCAAATTATAAGTCGCCTAAAACTTTCTAATTGAAACCCAGGGCGGTAGTGTCCAGTATGAACTGATTAGTTAGAATAGTAATAACCTTAAATAGATAACAGTGAGACATTGTCGGGAGCGGGAAGCCTGTGTTCGGGCTCTTTCACGTCTCCATTGGTTAACTGTACCTACTTTATTATAATTAATGTTTGTCAATAAAGATGTTAATAATTACAATTTTACCTAATCTGAGGAATTCAATTAAGTCTTAATAAAGTGAGGATAATGCTGGTATTCACTGTCAAAGGACAGAGACTCATACATACGAAAATAGGTCTAAATTGTAGGCATATATATCATGGTTACAATCAATGTTTTAATGTATGAATATGTAAAAACTTTCTGTTGTGCACTGCCACACAAGGGCAGTGTTGGGTTCATAAAAAATGCAGCTTAAAAATAACAATATAAATAAAATTGTTCTTCATTCTTTAAAATGGACAAGCAAATTTAGGATATTGTTAGGATGTCGTCCACTACACCAGATTCAATGAAATAGTTACACAGTTGGTGGTACAAGAGGCCAGGAGGTCTAAAGTCTTTTACGGTTTCACATTCAACAATATAGTGTTCTAGTGAGTGCATTAAAGGTTTATCACAGAGTTTACAATCTGAGTATTCTGGTAGTGGCTCAGCCTCACTAACCTGCCGGATGTGTCTATAGCCAAAGCGAATTCGCGCAATGACTACATCACATTGCCTGGTCCGGTTACTGTGCTGACCATACAAATACCTATTATTACAAAACTTGTCATAGCTTTTAATACTGCAGCTTCCAGGTCTCTGGGCATTTCTTAGTTCTTCTAAATCTGAAGTAATTTCTTTAATTTGTATGTTTCTAATAATTGCATTAGATAGTTCATAGTCATAATCAATGTTTTCTTTCCTGCAAGCTTCATTGGCCAATCGATCTACAGAGTCATATTTTCCAACTCCAACATGGGATGGAATCCACACACATTTTATACAATAGTTATTATCATTGACAAAAATTCCATTCCATTTAATATTACAAGCTACTTCAGACATACATAACTTATATTTGAGAAATTTCAAATGTTAAATACGCAGTTGGTTAAAATTAACGAATTCGTCTTTGGGGAGGAGAGGGTGTTGGACGAGCCTAGCCTGAGGACAGGTTGGTGTGCGAGGGGCGCAAGTGAACATACTGCGTCCCTGATCATCTCTTGTGTGGAGATAAAGTAGTTGTCAACGGACATGATGCTTACATATCACCAAATTAACCAGGCTGTGATTCATACGTCAGGCTGCTAGCAGCCGCGTCCAACAGCCTGGTTGACCAGTCCAGCAACCAGGAGGCTTGATAGAGGACCGGGCCGCGGGGACGTTGAGCCCCGAAATCATCGCAAGGTAACCGCAAGGTAAGGTTCCCTAGAACTGAACGTGTAAAGAGAGAGAGAGAGATAAAGGAGGAGAGGGAATATTCCGGGGGGTGGGGGGGGGGATAACGGGGCAAGCTGGGAATGTGTACCAATAAGCCAATTAGTGGGATCCTTGGCGCGTGGACCACCATATATCACCCGCATTGTTGGCCATGAATTCTCCAACACCGCCACCGCGCACATCCTCTTTTATTATATCTAAGTTCTATTGACGATCACTGCGTTCACACTCTTGACGCTTCCTCTTTCTTCACCTCTTCTTAGTGGTCTTTGGGGCTCTACGCAGTTACGCCGCCTCCGCTGTGTCTTAATATGTGCCATCTTCCACCCCCTCCCCCCCTCCTCGTTTACCGCCACGTGTTGGTATCATTCTGTTAATTGTCCTGTTTGTTTATTGTGTGTGTAAGGTGTGTGGTTGTTTGTCTTGCCTTCTTGGTGCTGCCTGCAGCATTGTGGAGGGTATTGATTGTGGCTCGCGCGCTCTCCACACATTCCCCTGCCATTTGATAAATATCTTCCCTTGACTTCCTCATCTCTCCATTGTTCTGCTCTCTTGATCCTTATTTTGTTATGCACGTCAGTTTTACTTCAGTTTATCCTTTGTTATTTTGTTGTTTATTAGTTCTACCGCTGAGAGAAGCCGCTGCTCCCAGGGCCCTCCAGTGCTGAGAGCAGCTGCCTCTTCCAGGGCCCTCCAGTGCTGGGAGCAGCGGCCTCTTCCAGGGCCCTCTAGTGCTGAGAGCAGCTGCCTCTTCCAAGCCCCTCTAGTGCTGGGAGCAGCTGCCTCTTCCAGGCCCCTCTAGTGCTGAGAGCAGCTGCCTCTTCCAGGCCCCTCTAGTGCTGAGAGCAGCTGCCTCTTCCAGGCCCTCTAGTGCTGGGAGCAGCTGCCTCTTCCAGGGCCCTCTAGTGCTGGGAGCAGCTGCCTCTTCCAGGGCCCTCCAGTGCTGGGAGCAGCTGCCTCTTCCAGGGCCCTCTAGTGCTGAGAGCAGCTGCCTCTTCCAGGGCCCTCTAGTGCTGAGAGCAGCTGCCTCTTCCAGGCCCCTCTAGTGCTGAGAGCAGCTGCCTCTTCCAGGCCCCTCTAGTGCTGGGAGCAGCTGCCTCTTCCAGGCCCCTCTAGTGCTGAGAGCAGCTGCCTCTTCCAGGGCCCTCTAGTGCTGGGAGCAGCTGCCTCTTCCAGGGCCCTCTAGTGCTGGGAGCAGCTGCCTCTTCCAGGGCCCTCTAGTGCTGGGAGCAGCTGCCTCTTCCAGGGCCCTCTAGTGCTGGGAGCAGCTGCCTCTTCCAGGGCCCTCCAGTGCTGGGAGCTAGTGCTGGGAGCAGCTGCCTCTTCCAGGGCCCTCTAGTGCTGGGAGCAGCTGCCTCTTCCAGGGCCTTCTAGTGCTGGGAGCAGCTGCCTCTTCCAGGGCCCTCTAGTGCTGGGAGCAGCTGCCTCTTCCAGGGCCCTCTAGTGCTGGGAGCAGCTGCCTCTTCCAGGGCCCTCTAGTGCTGGGAGCAGCTGCCTCTTCCAGGGCCCTCTAGTGCTGGGAGCAGCTGCCTCTTCCAGGGCCCTCTAGTGCTGGGAGCAGCTGCCTCTTCCAGGGCCCTCCAGTGCTGGGAGCAGCTGCCTCTTCCAGGGCCCTCTAGTGCTGGGAGCAGCTGCCTCTTCCAGGGCCCTCTAGTGCTGGGAGCAGCTGCCTCTTCCAGGGCCCTCTAGTGCTGGGAGCAGCTGCCTCTTCCAGGGCCCTCTAGTGCTGGGAGCAGCTGCCTCTTCCAGGGCCCTCTAGTGCTGGGAGCAGCTGCCTCTTCCAGGGCCCTCTAGTGCTGGGAGCAGCTGCCTCTTCCAGGGCCCTCTAGTGCTGGGAGCAGCTGCCTCTTCCAGGCCCCTCTAGTGCTGGGAGCAGCTGCCTCCTCCAGGCCCCTCTAGTGCTGGGAGCAGCTGCCTCCTCCAGGGCCCTCTAGTGCTGGGAGCAGCTGCCTCCTCCAGGCCCCTCTAGTGCTGGGAGCAGCTGCCTCCTCCAGGCCCCTCTAGTGCTGGGAGCAGCTGCCTCCTCCAGGGCCCTCTAGTGCTGGGAGCAGCTGCCTCCTCCAGGCCCCTCCATTCTCCTATTATATTTATCCGATTTCTTCGCAGATTCTGGTTTTATCTCTCTTGAGGTTCTCCGTCAACAATCGCCCCTTGCCTGCTTTTATTATCCCCTAAGGTTGCTAGGGACAGTTGACGTCCCTCAGCACCGACCTCTCCCCTGCTCTGAAGTGGTACCGTAAGGCCGTCATCTTTAATACTGCCCCGCCCATGGATTGTGGAAGTGTTTGTAGGTCTCTGCTCGCCTCTCCATCATCACCTCATCGCATTTATTGCTCGCAGTGTGAAGTTTGGTGTTGTGTTGGGGTATGTGTGGCGGGCCAGCTTGGTGAGGCCCGGCATTCTTCCCATCCTTCTCTCTATCATTTATTTCCTCTCCCTGTTCTCTCTCTTATGTTCTTATTATAGCTTCCTATAGTAATGATGTTATTTGCCTCCTATTCGTGTAACAGGAATGGAGACGTGGAAAAGGAGGAATGAGGATAATTAAGGGAAAGGTAGAATGCGATATGGACCCAATATTCCTATCGCCTCTCTACCTTACCTGATCGTCCCTAGCGCCTCACACTTCACAACACCCTTCTCACACTTGTGCAGTTAAATTTTAGTAAATTCTCAGTCAATTAGCTGGGGAACCAGATGTTAATTTTCTCCGGTGTTCTGATGTCCAAACTGGGATAACACCTGGCTTAGCTGTCCCCAGCCCTTGGGTAAGGGAGACTCTAGAACCGGGTGCTCTCACCTGGATCTTGGCCATTCGTGTAATGTTCACCACCTCTATGATACTCTGACAATATTAGCCGACTCTGGGAGTGGTAATTTGACAAATCGAGCAAAATAAAACAAGGGAAATCATAAGCAAAATGAAGGCGCAGCATACTAGTGTGCAAGGCAGCACTGCTGTTGATTCTCATTTGTTGAACTGCAAAGATCCTCTAGTTTATTAAGTAAACATCCTAGCAATATAATTTATAATTTGGCAAATGAATCGATGTTTATTGGTATCCGAACAGGGGATCAGTACAAGTTACAGTCACTGCGGTAACTTCATGGTCCATCCTTGAAGAGTAATGTTCTTCACCCCCTATGCCCCTAGCCCCCCACACTCTTCCTCTGCTCAAGTAACACCACTGCCTAAGGTGCAGGTCTTCCAAGGCCACGCATCTCCTGCCTCAGAGCCAATCTCTAGGTCAATATCTTAGGCTCTATGCCTCCCAACCAGTCACGGATTATAGGTGCCAAAGATGGGTAGGACTTCACCTTCCTTTTAGGCCCTCGGCTAATGAAGGGGGGATGGGGGGGGGTCTTTCTTCTTGAATGGTCAATCAAGACTCCTTCCCTTAATGTCTCACATGCCTAGAGACATTGAGAGGTAGGCTCAAGAGAGCCTAGCTCTGGGGACCCGGCACTCTGCCCCCTGGAAAATGTATTGCGTCAATCTGTTCCGTCCTTGTGCTGGATCTCTTCTTTCTGTACACTCTGATGTTTATTTAACTCGAGTTAGTAGGCGGAGCTTAGGGCAAGTTGCCGCATTGTTCGTGTATTCGTGTAATTTGTTGAAATGTCATCCAGTCACTCTCCGCGTGGGGATCCTGTGGTCCCGGGTTCGATCCCGGGCGCCGGCGAGAAACAGTAGGCAGAGTTTGTATTCTGCATTATTAGCCAGTACTTGTGTGAAGACTGATGACCTGAAGTGAGCCAAGATAAGTTTATCATGGTGGCTTCTCACTTATGCACTTCACTAAGAGCTGTATCCATTACCTGGCGTTACTCTCGTTGATTTTGCCTTACCTGTTTACTTAGATTGATAGTTCTCGCACTAAAGAAGTTCGATAATAGATGCCCTGTGCTGAGAGATGCGTACAAGAGCCACTTGTTATGCTCTTAAATTCAACCAAGAACCGCTTCATAAATTAGCTTAGGAAAGGAAAAATGCTCGTTGGAGAAGGTAGAGGGAAACTTTAGGTGAGCTCAACCACTATGAGCGACAGGGAATGATGTATGCTATGTTTAAAAGGAGCATGGAGAATAAATGGAGCAGCATCGGTGTGTCAGCATGCTGTTCATGATGTGAATGGTGCAGGCCCGGGCCGAGATGGGCCACCCAGTATGAACTGGCTGGCTGGCCCTTGACAATCTTGTTAGTTGAAGTGTGTGTGTGTGGACGGGGGGCAGGGGGGGGGTCACACAGGGGCCAGCAGCCGGCACTCTTTACATAGACTCATTGCTGCATGACCTTTCCTACTCTCTATCCCTCTCTTCTCTCCATCCATCCCTCCCTCCTCTCCTCTCCATCCCTCCCTCCTTCTCTCTCCTCTCTATCCCTCCCTCCTCTCCATCCCTCCCTCTCTCCTCTCCATCCCTCCCTCTCCTCTCCATCCCTCCCTCCCTCCTCTCTCATCTCCCTCCCTCCGTTTGGTGATGTCTTTTTAATTGTGTTCAACAAATAATTCCCAACAGTAATAATTGTTGTAATCCATATCACTTAAAGAGAACATGTCTGAGGCTGGAGGTCAAACGGCTGCGGTTAGGCACATGCAACTTCCCATAGTGATTTGTAGCTGTACGGGGCGTGTCTTAGGTGGGTTACCGTTGACCCCTCTGTAAACAAGATTGGCTTCTGTTGCCACAACCAATGACTCCTAGGAAGTAAAATGTGGCGTTTGATTTCCATAGAGTTTACACAAAATTTTCAGCTGATTTTCAGATCTTTTATCACCCACATGGAGGTAACCGTTATGTTGTTGCAATGTTGCATCGAAGTAATAGTGAAGATAACGTTGTGGTCTTCGTTGTAACACAATGGTAGCGCCATTTGTGTCTGTTTTAGCTCGAGTTAGCGTCATTTGGTCTGTTGTAACAAATGCTGCTGCCTCGTGTCACACACATGCCGCATCCTCGTGTTACAACAGACAACAAAAACTCTCGTGTTAAACAATGTTTTCCTGCACCTGGCCTAAGCTGGAGCTCAGCTTGGGCTCAAACCCAAATCCGGATCTGCCGGGATCTCCACAATAGAAGAACTTAATGCATATATTTGGCGACATGCTGCATTCAAAAGTAGGATCTAAGACCTGAAAAAAGAAGTTTGACTTTTTTATGGCGTCATTACTCTAACAATAAACCCAACTCAACCTAATTTAACCTATCCTACCCAAGCCCACTTAACCTATCCTCATGAAGCCCAATCTAATTTAACCTATCCTAGCCCAACCTAACAAAAAGGAGATCAGATATTGTTAAATATGGTAAGCATAATCAGATTAACGTTTAGGATAGTATTTATCAGTTCTCTGCTTTACTGATGTACAATGATGATCCAGATTCGGGGTAGAACAGAAATGGTTGGGCACGTTTCCATTCACCTAATGTACCTGGTCACCTAGCAGTAAATAGGTACCCCAGAAGTTAAGCAAGTGTTGTGGGGTTGCATCCTGGGAAGAATCACTAATTCGGCTTTGAGGGGACCTCGATGCAAACCTAAAGTATATATATACACCCAGCCTGCTTGTCCCATAAAACGAATTAAAAATTACATTATTACCTATCACCTTAATTATGACACAGTTGGATCGTTACCTATAGGTTCATTACGTCATTGTTTCTCCGGCTCTTCCTACTAATAGAACTTCGCATTTTGACATATACTCTACCCGAGGCCAAAAATTATCATACTAGAAAATGGTAGTGGCTAGCAAAATTGATGCTGTTTCCCTTTCTGTTTTGGGTCCTCTGGTAGATTAGGATAAGGCCACTTTAGTACGACATTTTTTGACGTTGGGAAACCTCAGGAGGATGGGTTGGTTTCTCAGTGCACACTTAAATTTGAAATCGGATAGCATAATTAAGTATAATTCCATGCCACAAATATCATATGTCCCCCCCCCTTTTTTTGTTCAGAATGTAGTTGAAAGCAGTCACCAAAATGTTCACATAAACATTATTATGTTTAGTGCAACTCTGGTTGGGAATAATAGCAGCATATAAATATTTACAGTTGAATCATTTGTATATAATCTATACAAGAGAATGCATGTCAGTTTGAGTTTGTTTGTCCAAGATTGGAGGCCAGACACTTGGGGCTAGCCTCACTCAGCTTTGCAGGGGGGGAAATGGTCTGGGGTACAGGACAGACATAGGTTGGTCGAGGTCACCAGAATTCAAGAGGAAACAGCTTGTCAGATGGCAACCCCCCCCCCCCCCCCCTCGAGGGAGAGACCCCTTGCATTACCTAATCTACATTTACTTTATGCACAATATCCCACAAAGACAGGAGTAAAACCAATACAATACTATATGTAAGCTACAGCCTCTGAAGGAGACAAACACTAACATTTCCCTCTTAACCACAGTATACAGTAATCCTCTCTAGCTGAACAAATGTAAAACACTATAATAATTTCATAAGGCCAGAGTTACCTTTCAATACATTTAGTACATTGTGAGAAAAGTGGCTGGTATTTAAATTAGAGTAAGGAGCTACTTATCTATGATATCCTAGATTCCATTAGACCATGACTGGCTCATACCTATCCAAATGTTGTACAGTATAATAATCATTTATAAACATTAAACAGCCACCAATCTCTTCATTATTAATAAAGATTAGTATGATATATGATAAGCTTCTAGCTGCATTTTTGCTTAAACAAGTTTCTTACTACTAAACAAGCTAGAAATTTACATCATGTTATATCGTTATACAGTTGGCAGCATTTTTACTCAACCTCCCCTCTCTACCTTGCACAGTACTCGTTTGGCTACAGACCAGTGTTCGTCTATCACTTAGGTTCACCCGAGTCATAACGGGTGGGAAGGGAAAGAAGGAGAGGCTGGGGAAGAAGGTGGACAGAAAGAGATGAGAGAGTGGGGGAAAGGGAGGAAAGGATCTGGGCACAGCAGGGTCCCCCCTTATGTTACATTTAATATGTAGAACTGTATTAATTGTTAAAAAAATAGATGCAGCCTTTGCTTGCTTTTGTTTAAAATAAATTACATGTTTGTCTCTTGCAGGCATGAAGGACTACCTTGAACGATATGGTTCCACCATAAGTACAATCACCCGTGATTTCGCACCCGCTCCCTCTTGGATTCCGGAGGAGTCTGGAAAATTCCTCGAGCAAATGGATCAGATGGTTCCAAAGGAAAAACTTGTAGTAAGAGTCTAATCTTCTATTTCTATAATATTTGTAGTTCATGTTAATTAATGCACATACTAGTATACTCTTGCAGAACTGAAGATAACTTGTAGACATAACTAAGGATTATTAGATTTGCTGGGTATGGGTGCCTTGCAGTTTGCAAATAATATTTTATGGGTAATACAGTACTGTATCTAGAGAATGCTTTTTAGTTTTAAACTTGAAACTTTCATTGCTTATGCAGTGATGACGAGTATAGGGAGTGACAACAAACGAAGAGGTACAGTATTCAGAGCTCCTCTTATAAATTGGGCAAGTAGAACCTTGTTGTCCAAAGTTAAAACAATTTAAATTGTTTAGCAAGTTATGACTTTCAGCAATATCTAGCAAATGATCATAGATCCAGGAAACTGATCAAAACATTGAAAAGCTGGGTAAGTGCACGGTACACTGTAAAAAAAAAAAAAATGGGAATACAAGGGGCCTGAGGATCCCCACAAAGTAGCTCGGCATCCAACTGGTGAATTAAGGCCCCACGGGATTTGACCAGGGCACAGAACCATCCGGGGAGGGGGCAGGGGCCAAAACAAGCTCCAGGGATTTTCCATAGAAATTGAGGCAAACCCCAGGATTTGGGGCACAGGGCCATAATTCACACCACATACAAGAACACATACCTGGGTAAATGATGCACAACATAAACCAAAGAACAGCCCAAGGTGCCAGAAAAACTTGGATGGGCCAAGGAATCCAGAGAGCTGTGATCATAAAATCATGTGATCGTTAGTGCCACAGAGGTCACTTTATGGTATGATGCTTCATTGTAACATCAGGGTTCATTACCAAGAATAAAATACTGTACAAATTGCTTAATTACACCATTATTCCAGGAGCGACGGGCCTGGAGGGACTCGAGACTTGCTGCAGTTGCCAAGCTTAAAAAAGAAATGAAGGACTAGGAGGCATCTGGAAAGCAATATATAATTTGCATCAAGAGAAGTGCTACAATAAACACCAGCAAACATCCAAGCACTAGTATTTTTTTAATTATTTTTTTCAGTGTAGGGACTATGATGCATGTTCCATGCTTTTTGTATTTACAGATTTAACATTTGTCATATTTGCTGTTTTTAGATTTTAATGATTTTTTTTTTGTTTTTTGTTTCAGTAAACATTTAGATTTTCTTTATCTTCCTTAATAAATTTATTCAGGAAACTCTTATTATCATGATACAAAAGGTCTTCATGAATTAAATGAATTGTTCAAATCAAATTATAATCAAAAATATGTTTTATGTATATTAGTTATAGTAATTATGATGAGGCAGTGTGTGCGCACATGCACAAGACTTACTGTACACATTTTGCCCTCATTGTGGGCATTTACAAACAGTAATGACTGTTACTAGAATTAATCAATTCCATTTTGGAAACAGGAAGGCTAAGCAATAGTAATTTAGCTAAGAATATGTGAGCAGGCATTTTGAAAATGCCACTCATGTGCCTTAGCTGACTGCATTCCCATAATTACATGGTAGGTGTTTCTTATTTCAAGAATTCTGTCAACATAGAAAGATGTGTTGGAAATAAGACAAGATTCTACAATCCTTGAGATACCAATCATTATCATCTCGAGTTGTATGGGGCAATATTACAGATTGTTGAAATCTATGGGGATATGTTGGTTGTACTCTCACACGAAGTGCAACTTGATGACATGCTTTCTCCACTTCCTGTCACCCCTTTAGTAAATATTCTTTCAACTTCGTTTTCTCTCATTTGCACTTTAAATTTGTCTCAAGATTCTTCCATGGTTGTCTGTCAGTTGGATGTGGTGTTAAGGACAGTCTTTGGTACAAAGGATAATGTATCGTTTGCTTGGTCAATCAGGTTAAGTACTCTTGAGCCTTATAATTTGTAGAATGGGTGACTATGTGGCCCACTCTTGGTTTGGGGGATGTACTTAAGAATGTGTACAAGAGTACCCTTGTTATCACTTATGCTTGCTGTCAAAATTTAAAAAGTGCCTGTTTTGGATGACGGTCAAATAAATAATGCAGGCGTCCTCAAGTCTCTTAGGTGGCTCTTCCAATAGTTGTTTTAACTTGTCAAATAAATTGAAATTTTGAAGGAAGATTTTGTTTGGCCATCACCACCACCTTAGGCCACCTCCTCATGTGGTGACTTTCTTTGATGAAACATCAATGAAGAAATAATCAGGGGCATTACAATATCAGATATATACTGTGCTTCATACTCAGGTTGCAAACATAGTACAGTATTAACTATTATTAATACATGCAATATGTCCAAAAGGGTTGTTAACAAAAATAAATTTTCAACAATAAGAAGATTGATTTTGAAAAAAATATTCATAAACCTAGCAAAGATCCAATGGGGGACAGTCTTTACTACTCCAATGCAATGAATAAAACAATTGAAGTATACAAAGGCTGTTTGAAATGTGCTCTTTTGCTGAAAAAAAAAAAAAAACAACTTAAAACAGAATGTGAACAACACTACAGGGGAATGAAAAAAAATTAAGAATTTCCAAAATTGGAAAGAGCTTCAAATTTTATGGAAAACAAACTTCCAAACCCAGGTCAACATGGATTTAAAGTGAAGATCCTGCCTTTTGCAATAAGGTAAATTACAGAGAACAGGTAAAATAAAGCCAGGATATTAATCCTGGCAGAGTAACAGTCAAAAGCTCTGTACCCCAAGGCACTGCCCTTGCACCCCTACTTTTTCACATCCTTGTATCAGATATAAACAAAAATACAAGTCAACTTCATGTCAACCTTGGTAGTACACATTGAAAAACAACAAGCCGACATCAATAAAGTCTTTGAGCAACAGAAAATAGCATAATTCTAATCAGGGATAAACTATAGATAGTACTTAGGTTTGGTAAAAATTAAGAATTTAAAGAAAATACAGGATACAAGACAGTCATGTCAATTCAGAAGGAAAATGACAAAGGATCTGGGAATAATAATCTTGGATGACCTAACATTTAGTGAGCATAAAGCAAACAGCACCACCCAGGGAAAATAATAAAGTGGATTATGGAATTACAAATCTAGGAATTCCACCACAATGCTCTTACTTTTCAAACCAATGTGCTTTCCTGCTTCAAGTAATGTTCGGCATTCAATTTGTTTCAAAGCACGAGAAATTTCTGAAAGAGAATTTATAACTTACAGTAAAGCACCAAAATTATTGGGACAATCTCAAAGCACTCAAAATGTACTCCAGAAAGGAGATGAGAGAGGTATTATCCAAGATATTTAAAGGCCAGGTCCCAAACACAGTATGCACAACAAAATAACCTACACATGCAAAAGATATGATAGGAAATGCAAAATACACAGTAAAGAGTAGAGGTGTCATAGGCATGAAGAACACTATGAACATCAGAGGTCAGCTCTTCAATCTCCTCCCAACTAACATAAGAAATATTGCCTTAACAAAAGTGGATGTGTTCAAGAAACAATTAGAAAAGTTCTTGCAAAAAGTGCCGGCCCCAAGTTGTGATGGATATTTGGGCCTGCAAACCACTCCAAGCAACAGCCCTTTATCTAAAGTAATCACAAGACAAGCCTGTCCCCAGACTGGGCTTGGTGAGTAGAACACTCAGAACCAACTCCAGATAATCCAAGTAATCATCATATATATAACAATAATTTTCAATATTCATTGAATATTGAACTCATTATATAATTAATCTACTAGTGGAAACTAAAACAATCTGCTAATAGGAAAATATTATTCATCAAGCTTTCCTTTGTTGTTTTTTTGATGCTATAAAATATATTAACTCAAAAATGAAAGTAAACGTATATTTAAGTTGTCCACGATGATATGTTCATAGTTGGACTTAACATGCTTGCTTTGTTTTGCGTGATCTCTTGCTTTACCAACCTTGCTTTTGTTGTACTGTATTGACAAAACAGAATTAGTACCAACTCTTGTGTACTTTATCTTACTAATAGTTGTGTAATTTACCTCTGATGCAAAAGACTCTGGAATTCGGTAAAATATTTGGGGATGGAAGTATGGTTAAATGTTAGTGGAGGTTGGTGTTGACGTGCATGTGTACCTGTGTATGTGTGTGTACACATGCACATGTATATGTGACGATGTGTACTTGTATAGCAGTGTATGGGTATGTACAGATGCATATGTACTTGTGTAAGGATGTGTACCTGTGAGTATGTGTACACATGCATGTGTACCTACCTATGTGTAGCAGTGTACAATACTTGTGCAAGTTTCGGGTAACATGCCACCTCTTTGCCAAATGGTAAATATATTGATTAATGAGGTAAAAATTTTAGTTTGATAAACTGACTTAAATTACACTATTGTGTTAAAGGATTTTCAGCATATTTCATATAGTTTTGTTAATCATAATTGTTATTAGATACACAACAACAAATCTGAAACTAAAGGCAATGACAAAGTTTCATTCCATCCTGAACTACAGTACTATCAAGTTGTGTACACAAAAAATGTGGTAAAGAAACTGCCCATACACTAAATGACAGATGAAGAGAACACAAAATAAGTGTCAAGTCTGTAGACACAAACAATACTGTCTTCTGCCATGTTAGAAACCCTTAATCATCCTCTAGATTGGCCTTCTAAAATAATCCATCCTGCCTCTACTCTTCAAAGATCCTGCCTTGTCGAATTACTCTCGTACACAAAATGCCTAATACTGCCTGTTGCCTGTCTCAGTACATAGTTAAATGATTTAACCTTTGTAATAAATGTAATGACTTGTGGGGAGAACCTAGAGGGGCTAAAGCTTTCCCTCTTCTATTTCACCTCATTCTCTTCACCATTTGGCCTTCTACACTTTTCTTTATTTCCAATACTTCTACCTTCTTGTCTTTCACTTCTTTTTACTCTCCTGCTGAAATTTTAGGGATCACCATAATATCAGAATTTAATTGACATCTACTGTATATCCAAGAAAACCTGAATTTGTGTTTTAAATATTTATAAGAATTTTAATCATTATATGAAAAATAAAACCTTTTTCTTTTTAACTGTACATACTATAACATTTACTTCATGTGATGGCTATTAGTGTAAAACATCATCTTCAAAAGTACAGTATTGCAAGAGTAATGCATAATCATTCATAGGTATCTGGGATTTTTACACTAGCAAGAACACCACCATATATGCAAGGAATAGGGTTTACCTTTCTGGGAAGGGTAAGGGGGCAGTTTGTGTGGAATCGTTAGACATGGTGCATAGGCCTCGAAATGGTAATTAGTGGCATAGGTGTAAATAGGAAAATCATGGATAACTCAGGAGGGGGGGAGTATAACAGGTACAAAAACAAAAGTTCTTTCCAGTTGAGATACTCAAGGGATTGGATAACTTTAATCTTAAGGGTTGAGATAATAACAAAGCAAATGAAAATGGAAGTTGTAAAATGAATATAAAACGTTTAGGACAAGTTTAAGGGGCAGACACAAGCATAAACATACCACACTAAGATGTACATACAAACAGAGGAGTATTAGAAATAAAGTAGTAGATTTTAGTGTACTTGTCAACACAATATATTATTACACTAACAGAAACACAGATGAATGTGGAAAACAAGAAAACTAATGACTGAATATAAAATAAAGGTACAGTATACAGATCATTTCACACCTACAGGTTAAACGAGGACAGAGGGTAGCAATATGTATCAGAAAATATTTAAAATCTAAATCTCTGGTATCTATGAATGGTTTTCATTACTTATTATTATGATAATGATGCACTCCTACCCTCCCTGAAGCTGTGAGCAGGAGTACACCCTCTATACTCATCATGCAAGCAATAGTGCACCCTCCATACCTATCCTGAGGGTGGTAGTGCTCCCCTGTACCCATTCTGTGGGCAGGTATAAGGTACAGGACTTGATAATGGTTCAGGACTTATTGAAACAATGTCATTTCCTTTATTTTCAAATTTGTGGGTCAAGTCTTAATTTCAGCTATGTTATTGTGACTTACTGTCTGCACAGTTGTAATCGTTGAATATTAAGTAGCATCCTTGTTAGATGTGTTTACAGGATAGATTCATAAACTACCATCTCTGTTATACTGTACTGTACTTGTTTCAATACTGAATGAAGTACAAGTATTGTGTATTCATCTAGGATATTATGAATCAGGTATAACGTAAGTGTTCAGTTTCATATTTCAAATTCTTAACCACAGTACAATATATACTAATGCAGTATATTGATACATTAAAGTTATACATATACGGTTTTAAAATATTGTATAAAGTATATTGTAAGCACTATAACAATATTGGTATATTGCTTACAAAATAAGTATTAATATATTGCCAACAATATACTAATGGTATATTTGTATATAACCCACAGTATACGAATGGTATATTATGTGCATTTGCAGTAGTGCATTATGAATCATGTTTATATAATATAAAAGTTCATGTTCATGTTGCACACAGTATATTATGGAGAGCGGTATTTTAAAATAGAGATAAAGGCTGTGTAGAAGAACTTTTTTTTATTGCTCCTTTTGATTAAGTGTTAAAATATTATATCCTCTCCATTCGATATAACGATTATCATTTGATAATCTGGGGGTCCGTTAAATCCTGATGTTTTAAAATACTGTATCGGTATCTGTTTAGTCATTTTTAGGAGAGCTACAGAATGAATGGTGGGTGGGTGGGGCAAGTGGGATGGCTGGATGGGCAACTGGCAGGGGTAGGTGGACAGGCTGGCTAGTAGGCAGGCAGGCTGGGTGGATGGATTGGTAGCTGACTGGTGGGTGGGTGGGCAGGCAGGCAGAGTTAGCAATGGAAGGTGGGCAGGATGGGTAGGTGCATGGCCAGAAAGGCAGGCTGGCTGGCTGGGCGAGCGGACTGGCTGGATGAGTGAGGTACGCAACATCACAATGACAAGGTAACCGAGGAAAGGAGGATAGAAGCACAGATCAGTGAATTTGTATGCTGATACAACATGGTTGCAGCTGGCAATCCCAATCATTATGGATGAAGAGAAGGTGGCTGCAGGAGAGAATCAGTAATGGCGAGAATGTGTTTTGGAAACAAATATCCCTGGAGATTCAGAATGGAAACAACAGTTGAGCAGCAAAGTTGCAGAATCTGTGATGAGAGTGACGGACACCGCCGTGACCACTGTCTTCGAGAAGAAGTACATCTGAGAGACATTAGAAATATGTGCAGAATAATAAACCCTACATTGAGTTAGGAAAATGCTGTCAAATATAGATACTGTACTGTTTAAAGATTTCCCTATTTTGCACCCACAAGATAACGTAAGATTTTAAGGGTTGACAAATGTTAATCTTATTGTTTGAGAAGCTGTTCACTCGAGACAGTTAAGCAAGTCCCAGCTATGTCTGGGTATAAGTGACCGGATGAACAATCCAGTGGATTTTCTTTCTATTGGGGGGGGGGGTTGCTGTATATGCTGCTATGGCGGTATGTCCACTCAGGATGAGTGGAGCTGCCCAATAAACTCGCCCCACAGGGCAAAATTAAAAAAAAAAATGAGGTAGATGGATGGATTACTTAGTGGCTGACTGACGGAATGTGTATGTGGATTCAGGGTGGGGAGGCGGGCAACCTGGATTTGACTGGCCAGGTGGCAGGCGAACTATCAGATTGGTTGTGGTCACTGTTTTGGCATTTTACGGCTTCGGCGGGTAAGACGTTCCAACCTTGTATTCTTTTTTACGTACTACTATGTGCGGGTGCATGCGCCCATACTTACGCAGAATAGGTATACAAATATAGTTATCAAGGTCACTAAGTAGACGAGAAGTCACAATAACGTAGCTGAAATATGTTGACCAAACCACACTAGAAAGTGAAGGGACTACGACGTTTCGGTCCGTCCTGGGCCATTCTCAAATCGATTGTGATCAATAAGGTCACTAAACATGTATCCTGCACATCATAGGCTGCAATTCCCAGGTGCAACTTACTGGCAACCGCGAAGCTACAAAACATTACAGTAATTTCAGTTGCAAATTATTAGCAACTGCAGTTGCCACAATCCCACGCATCTTGTAGTTGCAAATATTTTATTAATATTTAAAAATAATAAGTGTTATAGCCTATGATGTTTTTTTGATTCACCCGACGCACAAAATCCCAAATATTAATCGATCCTCAAAATATATGGTTGCACCAACATATATTTCACAATATCTTGGTCATTCTAGTTGCTTTAAACCCTAACTTCAATCCTCAGTGATCACAAAGGTGTGGATCACACTAGAATCTAACATAGTATTAGACCAAATTTATTACATTAATCGTCAACTGATTCTAGTTGCAAATAGAAGACGTCCAATATACAATGAAGACTTCCTCCCCTGTAACTAAATTCATCAAATTTACATGATAAACACTGTACTCTTCACTCCTCTTTGGAGTACTTAATAGCCTGAATGTCAATGATGGACAGTTACAGCCCCCAACTCCTGTGCCAGATACGTCCACTACGGGCTCACCATAGCCCGTGCTACTTGCAACTTAGTGTTCCTAGTAGCTGAATCTGAAACAATAAGAGCAACAATGATGTGCTCTCATTAGGCGTGAGGCCTGGGGGCTCCCTCGTTGTCTTACTTACCTCCAACGTATCGCAACACTTCCTCTTCTATGACCTCCACACAGCTGGCAGCACAGATACTCCCGTACCTCACTGCAATATCAGTCTGTCAGTTCCTACCGCCTTCACAAGGAGGGAATACAGTTATGCCAGATAAAAAAACACCTCATCTGTAGGGTTGATTGGTCGAGTCTCCGTCCAGTTGCCCAATTGGCTATTGGGCGACGTTGCCCAGTGACTTCACAGGAGTAACTAGCTACCTGCCACTTACGATAAGTCACGTCCTGCATGCGTTTGTTGGAGGGAATAATTCTCAAGCAGGCGTGGTGTAGGTTGTCCTGCACTAGGAAACCGCAACACATCTCAAGAGACCGTTCCACCAATGTTATACATTATGATTTAACAAAATTCGGTTACTCAGAATTTAGTTACTTGTACTTTTTGTACAAACAAAAAAACTATGCACATACATATCAACATTCACAGTAAGACATGTCTGCATGAACTGATCAGTTCAGCTGACAAGGGGTATATACCCAGAGAGGTGTACCCAGCTTCACGGTGTAAGAACATAAGAATAAAGGTAACTGCAGAAGGCCTATTGGCCCATACGAGGCAGCTCCTATCTACATACAAAGACTAAGGTGTATATACACTGAAAGTTTACTATAATCCTGGACAATATTCAGTACTAAACCACACATCAAAGTGGAGAAAGACGAGATTGCGGCCTGCCCTGATGTATAGTTTGGTCACATATTATGACTTACCGTCCACATTCCAAACTAAAGTATAATGTATAAACTGGTTGAACAGTAAGCTATTGTGGTTGCTTTAATACCACTTCAGAAGTAGATAAGCCAATGTTGAAGACTCACACAAGTGCTTCACTTTACAGAGATGAGTTATTAAAAAGGCTTTAGAATACGCTTTTACTGAACACCAAGTAACCGCACATACAAATCCGGTACCGCCATTGAAACCTTGTAACAAGACCACTTACCGTTGATTAATGTATATAGAAAAAACTGAGATAAGGACTGTTCATGGACAAATAGCCTGGATGTGTCACAGAGTAAAGATTGATGATATTCTGGCGAGATATAAGAATTTTGAAACAAGATTTTAATCTTTTGCTGAATTGTCTGAATGTCTGTTGCTAATTGTGTGTACCTAGTAATAAAAGTATTTGTGTATATGTCTGGTAACATGCTGCATGTGTATATGTCTGGTAACATGCTGCATGTGTATATGTATGGTAACATGCTGCATGTGTAAATGAAGAAATGTATATATTTATCACTCGGAATGTCCCATAACATGTTAATTGTTTGTGATGTGTGTGTCTATATATGTATGAACACGTTGTGCTGAACGGGGTGAGAATAGCTTGAGCTACCTCATCCCTATGTGTGTATTTATACCTCAATAAACTTATTTGAATTTGAAGACCACTTGCCAACATCCGTCTCACCACAAAAGTTACAGAATTGATACAAATACTCAAACGTTAAGGTCGTCAAATACTTATAAACTGGGCGCCATGTCATGTTGGAATACCAGGGAATGACATTGCACAGGAAACTCAAAAAATATAATTTAAAGGAGGAATGTAGACATTTACATACTACAGGTTCTAGCACAGCTTAATAAGAAAACAATAAAAGCTGAAGCAATGCAGTAGACGAGTCTAGTCTATGACTGTGTCATAGTCATACAGTGACTATAACGCAGCCGCTAAAGCATCACGATCAACAAACTATGAACCATTAATTTGTCGAAACTTAACAATAGAAGAAGAACGGAATTGGACAGGCACCACACCGGCTTGGATAACCATATACGTGCCAAGTAAGCTTGCTGGTTCGAGAAGAAGAGAGGGAGCATCACTCCAGCATCAGGGAGGCAATGGTTCTCCCTCATGTTGGAGTGTGGTGGTGTGGGTTGAACAATTGTGTTGCTGATACATATCTGAAAGAAATAAAAAGAGAAGAGTTTTTCCCAACAAGGTCATAATAATTAGACCATTATCCCAATCTCAAACATTTATCTTGCGTTATCACTTGCTTGTTTGGTAATGAGGCGATATATGAATTTTTTCCATTGCCATTAAAATACCAAATTTTGTTTTCCTCTTGAGCTGCGTGTGGTTACGCAGGAATTAATTACAGAGTACAGTCTCGTGTTAGTGTGTAATATATATATATATATATATTTCTGAATCTAAAAGGGGTACCACCTCTTGTGCAAGTGTAGGGACCCATAGCCTCGGAGAAGAAAATAAAGAGTACTCAGAGAAGACCTTGTGGATCCTCACTGAACACTTTGATATATATAGGCTTAATGTCTCCAACTAAACGAATTATTATTATTATCAGCAGATGAGAAAATAAAGGTGATGCTGTTAACTAGACAGCATGAATTACAACTCTCAGGTAAATTCAGAAGACTTTGTAAATTGGTATATGCTCATTTAATTATTTGAGCCCAAATAGTACATGTAATGGATTATACAGAATAATTTCTAAGTTTTCCGATAACACTTAACTTGGCTTCAAAGTTACGCTACTACAGGTAGCTTAAACATCCAGGTTAATTGGTCCGATGAATGGCAGAGGACTTGTATTGCTGATGCATGTAAAGTTATACATGTCTAAAACATAAACGAAAGACCAGCCACCGGATGAAGAAAGAACTAATGAAAGTAAATTATCATTCTTTTTTCCCCTCTTTTTCAATTCAATTTATGCTTTGATCTCAATTAATTTTAAGTTTTAGTCTTAAGTGTTTTTCCCACATCTTGCCCGAAACGCTGTGCGTATTAGTGGCTTTAAGCATAGTATGTACTAACTCTAACTAGAAATCCAACATTATGTTTGTACCTAATCTTATATGTATGTACTTTTACGTGAATAAACATTCTTATCTATCTTATCCAAATGAAGACAGATAACTGGGAGTTGTTGTTTTGTTATTATTATTTTCTACCACAGACGTGGCCACACATTTACAATGCTAACTAGCATATATACATTTTCTTCTGTCCTCCATGGACAGGGTGAGAGATTTGTCAAACATACAGTGGTGATCGTAAGTAGGCTGTGTACCACTAGTAGCTACTGTTACTATTACTACTACTGTTACTACCACTACTCTTTTCTTACCACTATTGTTGTCCTATTGCTATAATTTGGTCAATCCATACTTCTCCTTTATGGCATTGATACGTGCAGTCAACGTGTAGGTTTCTTCCTCCTGATGACCGCAGGAGCGGTGTTGGGAGACGCATCACTTCATGATGTGGCCTGAATGTTGTTGTGGCCAGTTGACGCAGCGGTGATGACGCAACTGGACACGTTTTGGGGCAAGACTTGACGCAGGCGGCGACGGCTGGACGTTGTGTTGACGGAGCCAGCTGGTTGCTCTTCTTGGTTGCCAGGTTACGTTTTCTATGTGTGACTTTCCGGGTGGTTGGTGTTATATGAATAGGTCACTTGTGGCCTAATATCATTACACAAATTGTAAGCTAAATTTGTTTCAAATAATGTCTGAAATATAAGTGTAATTGACAATGTTGTACACCTGTTCAGTCCAGCAAAATTATAACCATCTGTATGAAGTTGTTGCAAACAAAGCCTGGTCTTGGTACAGGTATAAAAAAAAAAGTTCGGTGAAATATTAGGCTTCATTGTAAGATCTTTTAAGTTTCAACCCTATAAAGTCATGACAACCCGTCCTCATTAACAAAGTTCAAATGCTCGTTAATCCACCTGCCAAACTCCCTTCTTTATGAATGAAAAATATTTTACACACGTCTCTCAGCTCATCCTCCAGCCCAAGTCATAAATCAAATACTAACAAAGTTTTTAATAAGTTAATGTAGTTTTGACTTATTCAAGACAACCAACAGGATGACTCTTACAACAGTATAATAGCAGACTTTATTCTGAAATATAAATTAATATTATTTTATATTGTGCGTTTATGTATAGTCAGGTCTAGGTTAGGTTAGGTAAGATGTTTTTGGTTGCGGTGATTTAGGGAGTGTATACACTACGGGCTGGAGGTGAATGAAGCACGTTTCGAGCCATGGCCTCGAACATAGCTAGGTGGACTATAAGTCCAATTACTGACTCGTGCACAGTTCTTGATGTCAGTATTTGAATTACACGTTGTGGACCTCACAGCCCATTGTTTTGATGAGGGACTGACTTTTCTCGAACAGAGTTTCATTCACGTCCTCTGCTCGAAGCGCGCCTCTCTAAATGCCTCATAGACGATCTGCATATACCAATAATTAGCAACAGAACCTAACCTAATCTTGATCTAACTATCCAAAACATTCTAGTATATAATAAGATTAATTTATATTTGAGAAAATGCTAATTTTGCATACTCGAAAGGTAAAAATTTATGAGTGCGTCGTTGGGGGTCGACCGCCGTGTGGACGAACCTAGCCTGAGGACAGGAACAGATTACCAGATCATACTATTCTGGTATACTGTGTACACTGGCAGGTGTTGACACATTAGCACGTGTAGAAACTGGCAAGTGTTGACACAGCTGAGCAACCTAGCTGATCCCACCACAGTGGGACCAAAGAGCCAAAGCTCAACCCCCGCAAGCACAATTAGATGAGTACAATAAAGTCAATAACATAAAACCCTATAAAATAACTAGTTATATTCATTTCTTAAAGGAGCACAATCTGGAGAGAATTTATTATTAATTCACGTATTTACAATTATCAAACTTAATTAGTCTTGTCTCAGAAAATTGGAGACACCTGAAGCCACAAGGAGACACCACGAGACAATAGAAGGCACCAGAAGACATCAGGAACACGAGAAGACACCTGGAGACATCTGAAGTTAAGAGACACCAGAACACATCAGGAGACACTTGGAGACATGAAGATACACCAGGAGATATCTGAAGACATCAAGCGACAAGACATCAGGAGACACTTGGTGATATATGGGATGAGAGTAAACACGAGTATAACATTAAGTATAAACATACGTATATACATTATGTCGTATCTAAGACAATACAATTATTTATACTTAGAATATGATCGCTCGAAAGAACTTAATTAAATGTAATCACCTTAAGTACCATTATTTTCTCATAACTATTATAGTACTTCTACATTAGTTTAGGGTACTAATATGTTGCCCTTAAATACAATAATTTCATAAAGTATTATAATCATTGTTTAACAGGAGTTTGTTATAATGTACATGAAAGTAAATCTTAAATAATAAATATACTATTTTCTATTTTCTACTAGTCTACAGTCATAAGACGACAGATCATACAATCATAGGCAGGCCATACTTGTGTCACCTTCGTAACAAGGTGACAAGGTTGGTGTTTTAGTGTGATAGAGAATGTTGGTCAAGTCTGCGCTTAAACAATGTGTGTTCAGTGAGTCTACGCTTGAACAATAAGAATGTTGCTTTAGGATTCGCATGAACAATGAGAATTTTGGTGTATTTCAAGTGTGTAACCTGTAAAGCCATTTCGCTTAACTCACTGGCCGAGTTAAGTGGGTATGGCCAATGGATAACCTCGCCAAAGCAGTTTCCCAACGTCTATTACGATGGTAGGAAGATAGCAAGGGGTGGGGGGGGGATAGGTTACTTTTGAGAGTGTGTAGTTTGTGACTTGCAACCTCAGTTTAACGACCCCTGCCAATGGTCGCGGATTGAGGAATGAATGGGTGGGTAGAAGTCTGAATATGGAATGGCATTTTTGGAAATAGGACAGGTGCTGACAGCCTCTTTAGCAGGTGAACGAAAAACTGTGTGTGGAAGAGATGAGTGAGAGCTTGGAGACAGAACTCAAGTGATGCTGACCATTCTCCCTTCCATTATGTGTTGTTGAAGAGTACATCGTTGAGACATTTGTACACAATGAAATTCAGTATTTAATGGAGTCAGAAAAATTAAGCAGTTAGAGCTGTGCATTACTGGTTCAGTGTGATCCCGTCTGTTCTTAATTGTTATCACTTTCTTTAATATCTCTACTTTTCTTAGTATGCGTGGAGGACCAGAGTTGCACAAATAAGACTACAATATATCTCTTTAGAATTTAGCATGAATGTTTTTCTGTAGTTGAGTAAAACAACGCAAAACTACAGCATTTTGTTTTACTCCTGCTGCATCATCTAAGTGGCGTCCTTGGCAGGAGGAGATGTGTAGGGATGTGGCAGTGTTGATGTGCGCTTTCTCATTTTGCTTTCACTATGTTTAGAACTTTGAGGATTATATTTCTTCATGAGAAATATATAGAGGCGCACCTCTATGAAGAGGGTCACTAAGACAAGGAGAAGAAGGCAGATTTCTGTCTCCAGCGCTATGACTAAGGGATCGATCGAGTCAAAGAAATGGTCAGTTGTGGCAGTGTAGTCGTCTTTAACTACGACGCAGCCGGAAACAACCACCCAGGTGTCGCTGCCCCAGCAATTGTACCGACCATCCTGCTGGAAGCTGGAGTTGCCGAGGGTCTTGATTTCCCCCACTTTTGCTGTCATGGTAAAAGTTCCCTTGTCCTTTTTCATCACGAGTTTGAGAGGATAATTCTCGTGGTAGCCGAATGCGATGTCTAAAGTTACATTGGCTTTCTGGGGCTGGTTGAGACAAGGCGGGTGGCTGTAAGAAATATATACAGTACGATTACCTTTCTGTGTGTCTTCGGCAGCCCATGGTTGCAACAACAACCTTGTATGCTTCTGCATGCGGAAAATTTGCTTGCCCTTTATATACCATTTGTGGTCTGGTCTATCGATGCTGATAATTTTTAATTCAGCACTTTCATTTACAGAGTTACCGTTATGTAGCAGCAGGTTGAGGGGGAATACGTTGAGGGTGTCGTGTAGAACAGCCAGGTTATCATCCAGTAATGACAGCATGAAGCGTTTGGTGTTAAATAACCTGGAGGTGTTGGGGAAGCATTTGATGCAGGTCTCCTGTAGACTCCGATTGTTGGTCAAACTTAAGTCAGCAATTTTCTCGCCAGAACTGGCGTTCTGCACCTCCATAACAAGTGACCAACTGGGCTGGCCTGACGGTGGGGGCAGCTCTACCACCGTCGGCATCCTCGCCACAAGTCTCTTGGTCAGCTTGATGGCCGTTCCGTAGTTATAGAAAGGCAGGCAGTAAGTGCTCAAGTTTTTGGGCCTGCAGGCGCCGGCTTTGGTGAACATGATGTCGCAGGTGACGGTGAGCATGGGGGCCACCAGGAGAAAGGCGGCGAGGTGCAGAACCTGGCAGCCTGCACCTCTACACTTCCCGCTCCTCCACACACACGCCAGCATCCCCACTACCTGTGGATGACGACAGCCACCATCATCTGGGAGAACATTACATATATATATATATATATATATATATATATATATATATATATATATATATATATATATTTTTTGTAAAATATATATGTGTGTGTGTGTAAATCACAAAAAATAAACACGTGATTAAAACTGTGACAGTGTCAGACCACGGAGGAAAATTGAAACAGGAATTTCCTTAAGTACTTTCGTATATTAATACATCTTCAGAAGGAGTGGTTTTACAGGTCGAGTACTGGACATAAATAGGCAGGAGAGAATGGTGGAGTGAGGTGAGGTACAATACGTGGATTGTATTATTTGGATTGTATGATTATTAATATACGAAAGTACTTAAGGAAATTCCTGTTTCAATTTTCCTCCGTGGTCTCGAACCCATACTGCCAGGAGCAACGCAACTGGTGTGTACAGGACACCTTAATCTACTCGACCATAACGACCGGTCAAAAGGAGGTGATAGTCGAAGCTATTTGAATCCCCCCCCCCCGCCGGCACTCGGATGGTAATCTTGGGCATAGTATTTTATCAAATCACCTCATTCTTTGGGGCACACGTGAGGAACACAAATGCTAACCTATGCCCAAGATTACCATCCGAGTGCCGGCGGGGGAATGTTCAAATAGCTTCGGCTATCACCTCCTTTTGACCGGTCGTGATGGTCGAGTGGATTAAGGTGTTCTGTACACACCAATTGCGTTGCTCCTGGCAGAATGGGTTCGAGTCACTTCTGGGGTGTGAGTTTTCCGTTGCATATATATATATATATATATATATATATATATATATATATATATATATATATATATATATATATATACCAAAGTATGCATTTAGGTGATAGAAGTTCGCAAACCAAGAGGGCATTTTCCAACACTCGTTTATCTGTTCAGTTTATTAGGCTGTTGGTTTTGGTCATATAATATGCTATAAAAATATTGAACCTTACTTTGCGATGATTTCGGGGCTCAACGTCCCCGCAGCCCGGTCCCCGACCAGGCCTTTTGGTTGCTGGACTGGTCAACCAGGCTGTTGACCATATATATATATGGTCAAATATAATTAAAATATATTGAAATATAATTAAAATAAATAGTTCTCATACATACCACAAAAATAGCAATGCTATTGTTCTACTCAATCAATGACAGCTCTCAACACTTAGCGGGCCAGCCAGAGACTGATGGCCAGCACTGGAAGAAAAGAAAAAGAAGCAAGTGGACGAACAATTAAGCTTAACGAGCAAGTAGATTCTGATAACAAGCAAGTAAATCATTACCATGCCACAAACGGATGTTGAGTTTTAACTTTCAGATTGTCGTTTCCTTCACAAATATTATTTATCAGCATTAGTGTATTTTTGTTATAACTATCAAATTAGTGTCACAACATCACATATTATCTTCTGCTTGTTAACAGATCTGAGGCGTGTGTAAGCTGTACAATGAACCCCCCCTTTCCATTAGTTCTTTGACGACCACTCCTAGTTTTTTTGAACAGGCAAAAATTAATGCTCTTGCAATTATGTAGAACATAAGCACTGAAATTAAGTTAACAATAATTTTTGTACAAATAACTTGAGATAATCGCAAATGCGGTTCCTAATCACCTTGTAATAAAATATATAGTCAACGTGATCATATAAACGGGGAAGTATGTTGACTAATATACTCTCGTTATTTTCTAAGAATATTGGAAACTGCGGAGATCAAGCTCAGAATAAACTTTTCTGAAGAAAAGTTTTGAATGTAAAGGCTTTAAGAAATAACATGCTGGCCCATAGCTTGGACTGTGCGGAGGGAGTGGAGGTTGGAGTAAGATGAAAGAGGTGAAGATGGGGGTGAGATGAGATTAATGGAGAATAAGGTGACGTGAGAGATGTAAAGATGGGATGAGGTGAGAGTGGTGAAAGTGAAGTGAGTTGTTGTTATAGACTCAGCTACTGGGAACAAGAAGTTCCAAGTAGCACGGGCTATGGTGAGCCCGTAGTGGACTTACCTGGCACCGGAGCGGGGCTGAGTGAAGTGAGGTTAGACAAAAAAATAAGAGGATGTGATGAAGAGAGGTGAAGCTTGGATGAGTTGGGGGGCTGTTAATATGAGGAAAGAGGTGAGAAATGTGAACCTGAGGAGAGCCACGTTGTGCTCTGGGAAGAGTCACTTTATACCCATGCAATAGCCACACCCTGCATCCTGGGAGAGCCACACCGTGTACCCTGGGAGAGCCACACCGTATACCCTGGGAGAGCCACATCGTGTACCCTGGGAGAGCCACACCGTATACCCGGGGGAGCAGAGGCAGCTACAAAGTTTACGAGCGGGAGAAACAATGGTCGGGCAGCTTGGTTAAGTGCCAGTGACACTCACACCGCCTCGCCCACCACACGCACCATGAAGTGTGTGTACCAAACACATCATGAATTATGTGTTATGTCAGTGACATTATAGCACCAGAACACACACACAAATATCATATGTTTTGGAAGGTTTCGCCGTCATGACGTTAGCCTTGCGGGCGTTAAGAAGGTAAACAAGTAAAAAAAAAAAAACACTAACAATAAGCACAATGTTCCATATTGAGCAGTAATGTCATATTCAATTATTGTATTTGTTGCTGGATAATTCCCAAATTTGACTCTGTCGTGTTTTCTTTAGTATTTAACCATTTCTTCTCCAGAGAGCTGGCGAGATTGGTCAATAATAGTTTAGCTTGCTTTGCAGCCTAGTGATCCATCAGGGATCCTTCACTGTCTCGAGATCACTCTGATGCCAACCCATGCATCCTCCATCCCAGGAATGTAAGCTGCGTTTTGACTTACATAGATTTTAATAAGCATCTGAGGCACACATTTGGCAACCATGTTATATATACAACGCATCTAAACGCGGCCTTTCTGGGGAGAGCGCAAACTCCTTTATTTAGTAATGTAAATTTAAACTAAATTTTAAACCTATTTACTTAAAAGTTTTATTTTATTACAATTATTTTCTTCATTCTTCGTTTCGCTCGACCCCAGAAAATTAAGTTTTCATATCGTGTAATAATTTTTTGTACTCAAATTTTAATTAATATTTTAAATTGTGGGCTTACGCATAGAACTAAGTAAGATTGTGGTCAAGTTAATTAGGGGCGTGTATATTTTTTGAGCTTATTATTAAATCTAACTCATACATATATTTATTTCGATGTCTCTTTCCCAGATTCTCTCTCGTCATACCATAATTTATACTCATATTATAATGCATTATCAGCCAGTTTGTGTGATGATTGTAATGTGTTTGGTGATTATGGGAGAATAACTTCCAATAGCACACTTTCATCTAATATTTTATTTTCATTATAGCTCTTTTTCTGCTTAAAAGTGGATATATATTATATTAAATATATATTACAGGCGATGAGTCACAATAACGTGGCTGAAGATATGATGACCAAACCACACACCAGAAGATGAGGAGACGACGATGTTTTGGTCCGTCGTGGACCATTATCAAGTCAATTGTCACACTCGACTTGATGGTCCAGGACGGACCGAAACGTCGTCGTCTCTTCATCTTCTGGTGTGTAGTTTGGTCATCAAATATATATTACATTCCGTTTTTTGTGGGCGTCTCATTTGTCCCTGGGCAAGCGCCTTATCCTCTAGACATTTAACAGTGCAGATTAAAACAAAATAAACACAGTTGGGGCACACTTGTGTGGTGTTGTCGCCCTTGTCCTGTACTGTTCATATCCTCGCTATAATACTGTTACACTAGTACCACCTGCAGTACAGTTGCCAGGCTCACTCATCAATACACCAAAAGATTTAAAACACTTTAGGTTGTTGGAGGGTTTCAAATTTCAGTAGTGTTGGTCTTAGGACGAGGCTGATTCCCTCGCAAGGCTTGGAGAACGTCATATCTGTTCTGGTGGATCCCAGCAGTTAAGGATCTGTGCCCAAGCGTCTTTTCCTGCTCAGGGCAGTAACCTTCCCTGCTCAGGGCAGTAACTTTCCCTGCTCAGGGCTGCAACCAGGCCGATATCGATTGCAACGTGTGATATGAGCCTGTCACCACGGGAATTCTTCTGCGTGATCCAGGGTTAAGATGGAAGAACGTCAGGAAGTGTCCTGGTGAGTCCAGAGTGGGGCTAAGAGTGGGTGGGAGATTGGTCCGGTGGATTCTGAAGTGGGCGGCGAGTGACGAAGGATGTACAACAGCCGCACCGCACACACAGTACCAGGCTGTAGAGGCTCTGACGGTACTGCGGGTTCATAAGAAAGTAGAGGAAGAAGTCGCAGCAGACGCCAGCCATCTCTATGCAATTAGCAATGGTTCGCCCCACCTCCAAAATGACGTTTGTGTGACAGTGCTTCTCCTGCACCAGGTACACTAACTTGAGACAGGTTGCCGGTAGGTTGGTCACCAGGAAGGCCAACGTCAGAGCCAATAGAAGGTAGATAATTTGCTGCTCCCTGTTACTCACACTTGACACTAGTCTTCTGTGCACTAATACATTTGACCATTTCAGTCTGAGCACAGCCAGCAAAATCTGCAAGTTCAGGATGACCAACAGAATGCTTGGCAAGATGCGATGCAACACTTCGAGAGACACGGACCAGATTCTCCAGGCGTGAGTGTGGAAAATGGCGCCCTGAGCCACTAACCAGCCCTTATGATGGTCACTGTATTGTGGTGCCTGTGAAAAGCAGCTGGGCAAGTACATGAAGACAGGGAGTGCATAGGCCACTGCCACCCTCCCCACCATCCTGTGGTAGGCCTGGGTGGTTGAGTACTTGTGGGGTCGACACACCGCTTGATAACGGTCAGTGGACACCCCCAAGATAATGTAGGCACAGCTGCAATTGAATACATTGTACAAAGGCTCTTCAACATGGGCAAAATAAAAGGCCCAGGCATAAGTAAGTCCCATTCTCCTCCGGACAGAGAGGGAGACTATAACGGTGAAGCAGATGGCACAGTGGGAGAGGGCCAGCCAGAGGAGGTAGGCGAGAGTGGTCGTCGTGGCGGCACCGGACCTTCCCGGTGGGTGTGGCCGCACCAACACCGCCACATTTATCATATTGGTGGCCATTGCCATAAGCAAGATAATGGGGAATACTAGACGGTAGGACACGTCACACACCTCTTGCAACATCTTCCACTCCGTCATGTTGTGGGACCACAGGCAGTGACACAGGGCTTGCATCCCGCTCCTGCCGGAAGAAAAACAGAGCTGAAGTTCCCAGCTTTATCACTTCTATCACCGTACAGGACTAAGTTATTCAGGTGTAAATACATTATTTATTATTTTCTCTGACAAGCTTGCTGCCAGAAAGGGCCATACAGAGCAAGAAGGTGAAGCAGAGGCCAACCAGGGCAAGGAGAAACCCTAGACAGGGAAATCACAAAGGGAGGACACCGGAGCTCGCCCGACTCGCGGAGTCGAAGAAGGGCACGCCCAAAAGGCCGGATACAAGCATGAAGGACTTTCAAGGACTCAGGAGAGCTAGAAGGGTGGAGGGAAGAACACCGTGGGGTTCGAGGAGACAAAGCACAGGGAGCACCAGAACCAGGTTGTGGGGGCAGAAGGGCAGTGGAGGGGGGGGGGCCCAAAGTACCCTAAGGCTGGGGAAGGGTGCAGGAAAACACCATAAGAGCAGGCTATCTGAGACAAGGATACCTCCCCACCTTGTAAGGCCAAGGCACAGGAAAGCTATGCTGGGAAAGGGCGAGGGACAGAGGCAGAGGACCCCACATGGGAATCAAGGTGTTGGGTGATCCACGTCCTAATGATAAATTGCTAACCACAATATCGTGTATAATAACATTTCATTCACCTGGACCATCGGAGCATCGAACCACGTACTACAACAGCAGCAACCCACAAGCCTCAAGGTCCCCGCGGCCCGGTTCTCGACCAGGCCTCCTGGTTGCTAGACTGGTCAACCAGGCTGTTGGACGCAGCTGCTCGCAGCCTAACGTATGAATCATAGCTTGGTTGACCAAGTATCCTTTTGGAGGTGTTTATCAGTTCTCTCTTGAACTCTGTGAGGGGTCGGCCAGTTATGCCCTTTATGTGTAGAGGAAGCGTGTTGAACAGTCTCGGGCCTCTGATATTAATAGAGTGCTCTCTCGGAGTATCTATATTGCACCTCACCTTTTCAACGGGGGGCATTCTGCACATCCTGCCATGCTTTCTGGTTTCGTGTCGTGTTATTTCTGTGTGCAGGATTGGGACCAGCCCCTCTAATATTTTCCACGCGTAAATTATGATGTATCTCTCCCGCCTGCGCTCAAGGCCACAAATACACTAGTGGCCTCGTCGAGGACAGGAAGCCGGCGGTTTGTCAAAGGTTCTTCCATTTGTCCTCACCCCCCCCCCCTCTGCCTGTACCATAAGCGCTAGCGTCAGTACCCATTGTTCTTGAAAATGATATGCAAATATATGATGACCAAATAGTAACTCAGAAGATGGAGAAACGACGACGTTTCGGTCCGTCCTGGACCATTATCAAGTGGTGTGCGCTTGATAATGGTCAACGACGGACCGAAACATCGTCGCTTCTCCATCTTCTGAGTTGTGGTTTGGTCATAATTTCTTTAGCCACGTTATTGTGATGTTGTCTTCATCCAAATATATGGATATACTGTGCTCGAGTTCTTTGATTAAAGGCGCCTGTGTCACCTACGTTTTGCTGTAGTGAAAGTGTTAGAAAGTATTTACTGTGTCAGTTATACATAGGTAGCTCTTCCGTCTGAACCGGGCAAGCTCCTGAACAACTAAGAGCGTCTCTCACTTGAACGGTAATGCCTTCTATGAGATCGATAGCATTGCTCAAATAAAATATCGTAGTTTTTCTCTTTTTTTATATAAGCACTTTTGTATTAAGTATTGACCGAAATTGCCCGAAACGCTGTGCGTATTAGTGACTTTAGGTATTGTATGTACTAGCTCTATCTATAAATCCAACATTGTTTGTAACTCTTCATCTATGTATGTACTTTTCCTCAATAAAAAAACTAATTTAATTTAAAGTAATTATCAAAAGAAGGCGCCAAGTTGGGGAGACTATGTAGTAACTTTCGTGTTATTTCGCCTGTATACTGATGACTCCAGACTTTGCATACTACATCTCCCTGTAATTTATCCTCTAAAATTAACAAATCTACAGTACTGCGCATTGTGTCTTCACGGACAGTGCGTTGAATCGTGTGTACGTATAAGGGTATACAGGTTGCTTGCCTGTGGTTAGCCTATTGCTCAGGCGAATCCTTTATGATTTATAGATTCTTATTTGTTGTCACCGGAGGCGGCTAGTTTATTGTGCAACTCATACTCATCCTGTGAGCGGTAGCGCAAAAGCATTACAGACGGCACAAAAGGTTTTTATTAGACCTCATCTTAGATTATTACATAAACAATTTCATCTATCCTTCGCACCTTTATAGTTAAATTACACACAGAAATCACAATAGCCTGATGCATCGAATGAACAAATCCACAAGGGCCGTGAACCTTCGTCACGGCCCTTGTGGATTTGTTCATTATAGTTACTTGTCAGCTAGTTACAGAGAATGTCCTATTTCAAGAGCTATCATAGTAGACATCCATCAGTCTCGGGAGACTATGGAGTTGCGCTCTGTTTCAAGAGCTATATATTTACAGTAAGTCATTATACATTAATGGCAGGCCTTATCGCTAATACATAATTGTTTGAGCACTGGAGATATTACAGTCATAGGGGTAGTGCTGTTTACTATTAGTCTTCACAACTTAGTTTCTTAATCTCATATGTCGTTTATCTACTGGGAGCGAAATGTGGATACAATGCAAGGATTTCCGATTCTAGAGAACCTCGTGGTCCGACACAGTTCACTCTGGAGTCAATGTGTGAGGTGTTCTCTGTATTACCTTCAGATGCGACAAGAAAAAAGGGAAGACTCGGGCAGAAGTGAATTCCTATAGTAGTGCAATATAATATGAATGTTAGACAGTACTTCAGTGGATGCTATACAGTTCTGCAGTGAATGTTCAATAAATGCTGTACGGCAGTGCAGGTGATGTTAGTAATAGTTTCCTGTAGAGGTGTTGACTATGCTAATGCTTGAGGAAGTAGAGGTTAGACATGCTGCTAGAAAATTAGAATTAAGGAATAAATACCATTAATTTTACCTTTTAATGAAGGCCAGCAGGAGGAAGTATGAAGTACTGGAGGGTGTGGCTGGTGGGTGAGGCTGGAGGGTGTGACTGGACAATGAGTGTGGCTGTGACTGTTCCACCAGAGTGTTGAGTGATGTGTGCGTCACTGCCAGCCGTTCATCACTGTACCTCGTCAACCTCGGGTGCCCGCCACCAGCGACGGGTCGGTCCGCACCACCACTTGGGTTCCCGCCATTATCACTAATCGAAAATCAAAATGTTTATTCATGTAAAAGTACATATATAAAAGACGAGTTACAAACATAATGTTAGATTTATAGAGCTAGTACATGCAATACCTAAAACCACTAATACGCATAGCGTTTCGGTCAACTGTGTCAACTACCATTAATAACGGGATGAGAATAGCTTGAGCGACCTCATCCCTTTGTGTGTATTTTACCTCAATTATTTAAATTTCAATTACTACACCTACACTTCAGTCATAATCCACATCTGCCGCCTTCACGAATACTCTATACCACCAGCGCCACTAATATCTGCACCTTTCTATTAGTGATATTTTTGTTGCCCCTCCCCCCCCCTCTTTCTTCCCCTTGCCACTTCGGGGGGGAGGGGTTAGATTCAGCTACTTAGAACAAAGTTCCAAGTAGCACGGGCTATTGTGAGCCCGTAGAAAACTTGAACCAGCTCCTGGCACAGGAGCTGGGCAGTAACTGAAGATTTCAGTGCACTTCGGGGTTGTTATTTCAGATTCGCTATTTGGAACAAAAAGTTCCAAGTAGCACTGGCTATGGTGAGCCCATAACTTACCTGGCACAGGAGCGGCTTCTTGTTGTTTCAGATTTAGCTACTCAGAACGAAATGTCCATCTAGCACGGGCTATGGTGAGCCCGTAATTGAGTTCGGTTATTCGCAATAACCTTGTTACATTGCAATATCATACAGCTGTTTAAATATTATATCAACTACAGTACCACCACCTTACGTTTTAGCTCAATCATGTATGTATACTGTAGTTGCAGAGGGTAATAAGTATAACTTTTCACATTTCAGATTTATTTTTAGCATAGATGACAGGAGATAGTTATAAATCAGCTAGAAGAAAAATAATAAACTAATAAATGAAAGGTAACAACAGCAGCTAATGGAACTCGACTACACATATGACTCACATTCAGCAATAATATGCATGATTTGGTCAGAGATAAAGCATAAAACACAATGATCTCAAACACGACCTCGTACTGAATCAATAAACCATATTAATATGACAAATATGAAAATATATTATGAAGATACTTGTAGGTAACATCTACTGTTCATATCATGCATGAAATTACAATGAAAATACACAGTCCAAATTCCATAGCCAAATAAGAAAAAAAAAAGTCCATAACTTTTTTTTTTTAAATCAACACCATCAATTACAAAATATTAGTTTAATTTTTGTTTGAATGATACAGTACTACAAAAAAGAATGCCATCAGTGTTATTTTCACATAGTTTATTACAGTTTGTCACTATTTTCACTAATCCCCCTAAGTGACCCCATTATAGAAAGTACAAAAAATTCCTTCATTAAGCTAAGGCTACCCCTCCCCCCCACAAGGTCTAGGTACAGGTATGGCTCACTATTGCACTGGCTATTGTTGAGGGGGGCATCTCTAGTCAACAGGATTTATCTATTGAAAAGTCAACATACACGAAACAGATGTATATTGCAAAGATCATCCTGTGGCCCACCTTCAATGTTGATGAATCTGAAGGGCCTCTTAAACCTGCCTTCCTTGTATACTTTCGTTTCCCGTTTGTAAGCTTGCACATCAGTGGCCTCCATGGTATTGTGACTGGTTTGCACACAATATATATATTTACAAATATGATCCGAGTATCACCCAAGATTATAGACAATGGAACAATTTGATATCCCAAATCTGGTTACTGTATCTGAAAGGTATATACTGTACATACTACAGAAGGTGCAAGTAGGATATACTGACCCATGATATAAATAATGAGAGCATTAACATAACAAAGTAGGTACCCTCTATGACATTTACATTCATCAACAAATATATACAAATTGCCACCTCAAAAAAAAATGAATATAATGAAAACATCCTTCTCTGGTGGGGCCCTAGTGCTCCTGAAGCTTAACACAGGTAAATCCAAGCCTTAGCCCAGCACCCCAGGTGCTTAAAACACATTCATTGCCTACTGGGATCCAGGGTTTCCGACAAGAAATGAAGTCAAAATCTTGATTTTAGCCTGAACATCAGCTATGGGCAAAACTGAAAAAAAAAGTTGCCAAAGGTAGGCCATGGAACAAGGGCCATAATGAACAAGGACAATAAACAGAGCCCCAACACAAGTATGAGCACCACTAAATACTGTGCAGTGGCACTGCAGTCACATGACAAAGTGCATAATGGATCCCAACTGGAGATCAAAGATCAGAGACAAATAGAGAAAGAGGTAAGGACACAACTCTCCTCCCTCTAATGATGATGAAAGAGGCACCACTATGGCCGAGCAAGATGAGGTGACAATATAGGCTACGACCGGAATTCAAGAAGAACTAGGACAGAAAAGACAACACCAATGGCAAAGGGCAGAAATTGAAAAAAGAAACAGGCAGAAGGCCCACCATGCTATAACATAGTGCAATAGTGAAGCATGATACCAACACTGTACTACGAAGCCTGTCACCTGAACACGGGATGGAACACAAGGTCCAGAAACCAAAAATATGTACAGCAGCAGAGACTAGTGAAACTATAGAGGCCAGGATGCTGCTGAACTCTAGAGAGGCTGAGCCCCAGAAAGGGAAAGAGTTGGGACACTGGGCAAGAAGGGCCAAGAACTAGAGTGGAACCACCCACTTAGGAACCTGTAGAAGAATGTGGCCCACAAGAGGCCCCACCTCAAGCATCACAGGAAGCAGCAGCTAAACATAAACAAATAAACCAACTTCCCTAGACTAGGTGAAATGTTCCCCAACAAATGCCATATGATCAGGAAATGGTGCCCAATAGAATGGGTGCCATTTTTACCTAGGAGTGCCTAATTTCTTTCATGCAGTTGCTTGTTTTATTGCACCTTTTTTTCCTGTTTAATCTCTGGTCCCCTGCTTACTTTACCTTACAGAGTAAACCAGATTCTGGTACAGTACTGGCTTCCCGTAGGCGATGGATGAGTTTCACACAAGCCTGGTGTGTTTGACTACTGAGGCCCCCCCCCCTCACAGGAAAAGAAACATTTATGATTAATTTTTACTGGTATAAGGTGTTCTGGTATTACTGGTACAAGATGTTCTGGTATTACTGGTACAAGGTGTTCTGGTATTACTGGTACAAGATGTACTGGTATTACTGGTACAAGATGTTCTGGTATTACTGGTACAAGGTGTTCTGGTATTACTGGTACAAGATGTACTGGTATTACTGGTACAAGATGTACTGGTATTACTGGTACAAGATGTACTGGTATTACTGGTACAAGATGTTCTGGTATTACTGGTACAAGGTGTTCTGGCATTACCAGTACAAGGTGTTCTGGTATTTCCCGTACAAGGTGTTCTGGTATTACTGGTACAAAGTGTTCTGGTATTACTGGTACAAGGTGTTCTGGTATTACCAGTATAAGGTGTTCTGGTATTACTGGTACAAGGTGTTCTGGCATTACTGGTACAAGGTGTACATTAGATTATTTAAATTAAAAACATGGAATTTGTTTTATATCAGTGAGAAAGCTGGTACTGTAAAGCCTACAGCATTTCATGTACCATTTGGGAACAGTTTGAATGTTTTTTTTTTTATTATTTTGTAATACAGTACTACATTCAGTGGGCAAACAAATGTTTTCATAACTACACAGTACAGTATACAGAAACCAGTGTCATTATTGTAAATTAATTCATCACCTATTTCATTACGGAATGAACAATTACATGCTACACTTCAATGATGACATACTTAATAACCCAAGAAGGAACTGTGAGAACTCAAAGCATTACGATTTTTATTTTTTTTCAAACTTTTTTTATGCACAGTTTATGAAAGTGTAATAAAGTTGTACAATTTTTTACAAGTGTAATTTTTTGGTGGGGGGGGCCAGAATGTCAGTAGTGAAATGTTGCTCTATCATTTAATACTGTAGTTTCAAACATACAATAATGAGTAACTTATGAGGATCACACCTAAGTACTACATTGACTTCAAATTTATGGTGACAAGGATGAAGTGCAAATCTTTTTCACACATAAGACACCATCAAAAACAGTAATTCGAAAATTACATACATATTTTTGGAGACGACTTGGTAATAAAAGTGCAAGCACTCATTAAGTGGATTCCAAGATTGGTGAGACATTCCCTTATTAGGAGCATCAGTCATACAAAATATTTCTTGTCAAACCTTGTTTCCTAAGCATGGTATGAATTAAAAAATCTATTTAGTTGACCTTCTCCAAATACTATGTTGAGTCAGAGAAGCTATATTACTGTAAATTCCTGAGACATAATTCACCCTATGCCCTGTATCATATTAAAAGGTTGTGAGAAAAGACAGTACAACATAATGCTTCCCATGTAAATCATGGCAATTTCTTTGTTGAAGACAAATCAATTTTTACCACAAAACATGGATAGTATTCTCTCAGGTTAAAGGACTGGCATTTTAAAATAAATTGACAATGAAAGTAAAATACTGTATGCATTACAACATTAATCAAATTTTACAGAAGAGACACGTGACATAGAATTGTTCAGTCTTTGGGATAAGGTGAAAAGAAATATTCACACTCAAGTGACCGAGACTCATTCTGCATTAGATGATGATAAAAACTAAGAGGTACTGTATTTGGAGATGTAAGCAGTGATAATTATAATTATGTAAATACAGTTATATGATTTATTGCCAATCTGCAGTTTCCCAGGATAAGTCAAGCTTGTGATGTCCTGTACTCACCTAATCCTGTCTACCACTGCACATACCAACCATCTACAACTCAGCTTGAGAAGAAAACTCATTATCTGAGCATGCACACATGCATTTTTAAATGTATTTGTGACAAAGTGTGTGTAATTACTTAAGTGTAATTACCGTAGTGTAGCACAGAATGAGAGCTACACTTGTGGCGTCCCGTCTTCCTAGAATGTGTGTCATATGACGCTTTGAAACTACTGACAGTTTTGGCATCCACCACCTTCTCACTTGACCTGTTCCAACTGTCTACCACTCTGCTTGAAAAAAAAAATAACTTTTCAATTTTTGTTGGCATCTTTGCATCTTTACCTTGAATTTATGACCTCTTGTTCTTGATGTTGCAGTTTTCAAGATTCCTCTGTCAGTTTTGTTGATTCCTAATATTATTTTGCATGTAATGATCATCTCATTTTTCTTCTTTTAGCTTTGGCAAATTATTCACATCTAGCCTCTCCTCATAGATTTTTTTTCAGTTCCAGAAGCCCTTTTGTAGCACATCTTAACACCTTTTTGAGTTTGTTAAAGTGCTTCTTGAGATATATCCACCATACAGCTGCTGCATATTCCAATGTTGGTCTCACAAAAG